CCCCGTCCGTGTCCCCGCGCCCGAGCAGCACCTGGGGCCCCGGCGCGGCGGCGCCCGTCTGCTCCCCCGCAGCGCCCTCTGCTGGCCCCGGGCTGGCGGCGGCGAAGGGCCCGCTGGTGCCGGCGCCGAAGCGCTCCTTACTAAACAAAATGGAGGTTATCTCCTCTTCCAGGCTCTAGACGGGTCAGAGAAGGGAAAGGACAGAATTAGACAGCGGCGGACGGAGCGGCAGCCACCTACAAGGGGAGAGGTTTGGCAAGAGAGAGACGTGACAAAGGCAGCGGCTGGGCAGGAGCAGGGGGACGAGCGCTGGGGCTGCGCCTGCACCGCGCACCGTGGGAACGGAACATCGACACTGGCACATCGACATTTACACATCGACATCTATACGGACCTCCCAAACAGCACAGCTTACTTAGCTGGTAACTCCGTATTTACTACTGGGATTTTTTAATTTTTTTTTCCCACTTTTAAAATCCATTTTTGACACCTTCCAAAGCCCAGCTTGATCAGAGCTTTAGGGCTGTCAAGACATATTTGCTTAGAGTACATACCCACAGCACTGCAATATTAAAATATTTCTTACTTCTTTATAATGAATGGTATATATATTTATATACTTAAAATACTTAAAAATCCTAAAGCAAATTCAGGTAGATTAAAAATCTGTTTTCAAAAAGTTTTTCCCATTTTAGTAGGAAAACCTGTATTTTTCAAACGTTCATAAAAAGGGACACATTGCTTTAAAGCATAAATTATGTTCATAATTGGTCTATTTTCTGTAGGGCTATATATCTGTACGGTTAAGCAAACTTTGAAAGTTCATGTGGGTACAAGCCTCTGAAAAGGCTACAATTCTTCTACTCCAGATTTCATTCCACAAACTCTGGTAAGAAGTTAGAAGTAAAAGTGGTTAAAATAAAAAGCCAAGAACATACAAATACATAACATGGACATAACGCACACGCTGACAACACGTCAGGAGATACATTTCCTCAAGGGCACTACAGAGAAACATGCCAGAAGCAGGTGCCAGAGGAAAGCCAAGGTGCCATGCACACAACTGCAGCCATGGGGACTCACCGTGTGAGCAGTGATGTATGTGAACTGTGAACTAACAGAGGTTACACCATGCTGCTGTACGGACACTACAACGTGTATGGTATGCAGAAAAACAGAGGAAAAAGAAGAAGAACCCCTAGCCTGGATTTTTGTTGGTTTTTTTTCCCTACAGTAAAATTCAAAGTTTATGTCAATGGTGGCTAAGAGTTAACAGGAAGTTATTAAATCTGTCTTCATGCAATACTGAATATCCATTAGTGCAATGTGTTCCTTACCCCTACTATCTTTCCCTAGTTTACTCCACCCAAGAAACATTAATCTATTAACAGATTACATCAAAAGGAAAAAATGTTCATGATCCTCCTTTCATTGTACTCTGGTACCTTTTTTTCTGATTGCTCAAAGCAGTCACAAAAAAACCAAAAAAAGCAGGAGAAAACCAAAATCTTTATGTGGTAGGTGGTCAGACTGCGTTCATCTCTCTCTAACCCTGCTCCCCCTTATATATATAATTAGACAGACACATACCACCCATCTTTTAGCACTTTCCTACCCTCAAATTTGCAGGTCATCTAGTCTTTTAAAATGAAAACCCAAGTCACACAATTAGTTTGATAATGTAGCCCCTGTTCCTTGGAGCATTTAGTAGAAAGGGTTAAATGTATAGATAGAATTAATCAATTTTGTATCAGCCTCTCTTTAAATTCCTGGCAAATTCTTCTGTTACATGGTCATACACTCTAACATGAAATATTTTTACAAGCTATGGGGGATGGATTAAAGAAAAAAAAATTGTGGGCATCCATAAAACAAAAATATTTCTCCTATTTGCAACATATATATCAATGTGTCAGTTTTTGTTTAATTAAGTCACAGATGCTGTGCACTTGGAAGAGTATAGTGGATCTAGAAGTATAGTGATCAAAATGACATGTACCCAAAACAACATTTCTAGGACACAGAAAATTATTTGTAAGCATTTTTGCTGAAGCAAAAGAAGAAAAATAATATTAGCAGTGCTATCCCTGCTTCAGTCTCATCTATCATTCAGCTATCCTAAAGGACAGGCAAGGATCAACAGGCATCCATCAACAAATAATTCAAAGTGGAAACACAGTTCCCCAAACATCATATTTATATTTATATATATTAGTGAAATAGGACTGCCAGCTTCACATTAACCTAATAGACAAAAAGTAATGTAAAAAAGCAACATCACAATTGCTACTCATCATCACTATCACACTGCCACTAGCCCCACTGGTTAGAGTGTTTTTCATTGCATAGATGTTATCAGGGACAAAACCTCCCTCTTTTCCTTAGTGAAAAGAGAGGTACAGAAGTGCAGAGGTGTTCAGAACAGGTTGCTTTTGAAATGTAACTGCTTACACAGCATTATTGATTTGAATAATGATTACATAGTGAACACACAAAGCAAAAGTTCTTGTGTGAAGTGTCAAATAACTGCAAGCAATTATTTCCATATAGAATGAAAATAGATGTTTTGCTGTCATCCTAGTCACATCAAATACAGTAATTTTCCTGTGAAAAACCAGGTTCTTTTCAGCAGCCATTCAGAACTTCATGGTTATTTTGATGTGTAAGAAAAATGTTGCTGGCATTCACATATATGTGTATCTATACTCATATACACACAGAGATCCTGGTTTACAACTTAACATTCTCCTTTTAGTATTGGCTTTAAAAAGTTATTTTCAGAAAAAAAAGAAAAAAAAAGAAAAGAGAAAAAGGAAGAAGTGCCCAAGCCACCAAGCTAGCCCACAGCAGATGCAGCAAAAAAGCAGCAGGTTTCAGGGCAGCCACCTTATCGGTTTCCTCTGGTTTTGCTCCAGCAATCCATGGCATTGAAATCCATTGTTTCTCCTTCCCAGGCAGTGTTTTCACTTGGAAAATGTGGTCTCCTTTTTTCTATTTGGTTTTCATTTTATAAAACCAGTGTAAATCAACAAGCAATGAGACAGACATACACTATACATAAACATAAAATCAAATCATCTGGAAGTGACAGAACATACTAGATGAGCAAAAAAAACCAAAACAAACCACCAGATATAAAATAATTTCCAGGGGACTCAACTTCAAGAGAAAGAAATCAACAGAGAAAATAAGCACGGCCATGTAACAAAAATTAAGTTACACTTTTACATAAATGTCACAAGCAAAAATATATTTATAGCTATTAAATGAATCACTGTGTCATGAATGTTTGAAAACATGACCAACATTTTTATCTGTGCCTATACCACTATATGTAGAAATATTAAGGTACCACTCAAATTTAAGGACTTTTTTGGCAGTACGACAAATTAACAAAATAAAGAAGTGATGCATAGTTAGTTGCTGTGTTCTCTGTATGCACATACAATTCAGATCATTTACAGATCTTACTGAAATAATGTCCTATTATCAAAAATAATTTTGTAGCATCAGGCCTGCTCAATTGAAAGCTCACCTTTCTGTGGACTAAAAGAAAGCTGAAGAATTTAAGGGGACAAAACAAGGATACATTTAAGGAAGGAAGAGTGGGAACCATGGTGATAGACAAGGAGCAACAACACAAACTGATTTATTTAAAAGTCTGATTTACTTATCTACTGTATGAAAGAAACAGCTAATAACCCAGTAGAACTAAAATTTTCACAACAGCATGAGAAATTTGGGTAGATTTTTTGCTACACGCATCGAGGGTGATATTTGTGGAAAACTGTATTCCATACTGCTGTTTCAAGGTTCAGTCAGAAAGGAGAGGTAGAAAGAAGTAGATAAATTCATTTTACAGACTTTTAAAGATTAAGACAGGTAAAATTTAACAACTACATTAAATGTGTCCTGAAGTCAACACTGTAGATTAACTGACCACAAAGCCCTTCTGAAACAAAACATGGACTGTGTGTATTTATGCACAAGCTGTTTATGAAGAGATAAAGATATAGAAAAGGAAGGAAAAGTTCTACTGTCACTGAAAAATTCTCTCTATCAATTTATGTAAATCAGAGTGAAATTTAAGATATCCTTAACATACAGGAAAAAGCTGCCATCACTTCTGTTTTCTTCTAATTCAGTTGTTCATGTAGAAGAATAAAATTCCACCCATTATTTAAAATCAGGTCCAATAGTAACAGTAAAAAAGTTAATGCATACTTAGTATAAACAAATATTATATCAGACAAATAAAGTGTTAACCTGAAGGACAAACTGCATTTGCTGTATGACAGAGGGTTGTATGGAAAGGCATGCAGACAGGTGTGTGCAGTGACATACCCCTTGTGTCTGTAGGGACAGAGGTGTGATACGCCGCTTTTCCCACTCATTTGGGCGTGGTTCGGGTGTGGATTCCATGAAATTGCGCTTGAGCTCACTAATGCTAGCCTGGTGTTTCAGTAAGTCGTCCTGGGTCTTATCCAGGTCCTAGCAACCCGCAACATAAAACAAAGTAGGACAAAACACGACAAAAAAAGCAAACTTAACTGGAAAAAAAAAAAAAAGAAGTAGAAGCAACCAAACCAAGAAAAGTGCCTTGTGTCTGAAATGGTGACCTCCTCTGTAGTGCCTCAAAATAAAAATCTTTAAGGCTATAAGGGACCAGGATTTTCTGGTTTTGTTTTTGTTGTGAAGTTCTTACTGAAAATTACTGTTTCTTCCATATTTTAAAGCAAAGGAGAATAATGCTGTATGTGGTTATTTAGCAAAGAGCTACTTTCATCCGAAATATGATGCTACTAGCCCTTTGAAACAATAATAATTTCCAGAAGCTGTTTGCTTTCACCTAAAATTTGTAAGCACAGAAGCAAATGTTTCAGGATACTGCTCAGCTAACATAACCAAAGGTAGCTGTAAGAAAGAATAGTTTAGCCCAAGGAGCATAAAAATGTGTCCTTCCTGCTATTACAAGCTCCGTGAAAAATACATCTGTGAGCACAAGGCCAAATATACAAGCAAGCTAACACCTGCTTATCCCTCAGAGGGATAACTCATTGCGCCTCTCATGCAGGCTTAAACTTATTGGAAGGATCAGATTTAAAGACTTCAAACCTGTTACCTGCCAATTCTACTTTTAAGAACCGAACAGCAGACAGGTAAGTAGGAATAGTTTTTGTGCATGCCAGTACCAAAACAAATTATCTAAATTGCACCTCCAAAGATCAGTGCCAAAGGGGACACCACAGCGTGAATACCAAATTAGATTTTGTCATGACCATTGAGGCCAAACTGCAGCACCTTGGATCAAATAACTACAAGGTATTCTTTCACTTTGTACCAGCTACAAGGCAGAGGTAAGGTTCAGGTGCTATGCCAAAATTTAACTGCTCTAGTAGCCAGACAAATATATATATATGCTTAGCTTTCTTGGGAATTCATTGTCCTCTAAATACAATGGCTGGGATTTGGTGGGCAAAGCAGATTTCACCCTACTTTGACAATTTATCCTCCTTCCACCATTCCAGGTCTCAAAAAAAGCCCATGTTGCTTATGCTCATGCTAACACAAGAATATTTTTTTCAGTAGTATTCTATAGTTATATTCAAGTTTAAGCCTTGGATCCATTTTTAGTAAAGAAATAAAAGACTGAAGATTGAAATGAAATATTATCAGAGCAGACATAATTATTAAGGAAGTTTTGTCAAAAGAATGTAATCAGAAATAATTATGTAGATAAAGAATCTGGATTTTTTACAATGATTTTAAATACTTTTTAGCAGAATGTTCCAAAACCTACCATTTATGTTAGGATTTTTATTGATACAGTGATCACAATGCAAAGATGCTTCACATTAAGTCCTGAAAAACCCACACCCCAAGCTCATTAGTTTCTAATTTCTTTTCACTTGCATGTTCAGCCCCAGTAAGGGTTTGGTGCTGCACATCTATTTCCTAACATTGTGGATAAGCCTGCATGCATTTTGAACATTTGAAGCTCTCCCCTTCTGGCAATTCAGTAGGTTTGTATTGCCACAGGACCACTTTTCATCCTGGACTAACAAATGAGACATTAAATACATCCCCCTAAAGTTCGTATTTCCCAAGTGAAGTAAAATCTTATGCCAAAGGCATTCTATTATGCAACCAAAGCTCGTAACAATCCCGTCATTATTTTAAGACCTGTCTTGGCTTGACACAAGGCACATTTCTTGGACTTGATCAAAGCACAGTTATGCAATGCACACTTTCAGTGCTTCAGTAAGTTATACACAAGCAAAGTTTCAATAGTGATCAAAAGCTGCGAAAAGCCATAAAACATTAGTTGGGTTACTGCAATCCACACATCTCCCTATTACTGAGCAAAACCAATGTTTTTTTTAAGTGTTTTTGTGACAAAGGGAATTATTTATAGCCCCATATGGATGGATAAAATATACAGCAGCAGGATTTTTTAAAACATTTTCAGTTATTACCTTAAGTTATTAACCACAAGTTAAATGATACTGATAATAACTACAGACAGTCTCTGATAAAATAATTGAGATTAGCAATCTATATGAAAATTCTTATAATAAAAATCTCTACTTCAGTGACAATGCACTACATGTGAACATACTGTTCAAAGCTCTTTGCTGTTGCTCATCTACAATGAAAACCAACCTTCAAGAAGCAAAATTTACTTCCATTTGAAAAGGAAAAAACAAAGCAAATATTTCAGAAGATATCAAAACATTCCCTTTGAATATTTGATCCTTGTATCATTGCTCAATGTTCCTAAAACCAGTGTCAGAATCAGGATTAATTTTCTATACTTCTACTGCTTGCCCCTTAATAATTCCATTTATTCAGCTAATGTATTTGAGGAAACTTGATTAAACTGGCAAAAAGCTGGAAACTCTACTCAACAGAAGATGCAAACATTGAGGTGCAATGTACAAAAATCCATTTAAAATTATGAATTGCACCCATGTGTCTGCTCTAAATAGGGCTATTATTCCCGGTTGCCACCTTGAAAACATTTAGCAAAAATACACAAATTTACATTCAGTGTTCAAGCTGAGGATTGGCTGTAGGTATTTTGCATTTGTTTGTTTTTTGTTTCAACTCAGAAACTAGAATGGTAACATGCAACATTTCCAAGCCGGTTTTCCCCATGCACTTCATGCAGTGTGTCCACATAACAGCCTGCAGGTGACCTCCCATCCCATGCAGCCTGGCAGCCCGTGAGAATGGAGAGTACTTTTTGTATTACATACAAACCTCCAACATTAAATTGCTATGTCTGACATAAATATTTTCCCCGTCTACTCTCAAGGAACTGATCTGTGAAATTGAGCCACATAAACAAAAAAAACAAAAACAAAACAAAGAACATAAAATGGACCAGCAAGTAAATAAAAAAGGATCCTTAAAATCAGACAGTTAAATAAAGGAAATAAAATGGTGAGATGAAAAGGCACTATTCAGACAAAACCCACAGAAAATTTAGGGCGCTAACAAGGCAGGCAGCCACAGCCAGGTTCAATTGTAAAAGAACAACCAAGCACCTTCTGCTGCGCTTCCTCCTCTTCGTATTCCACCTGTGTGAGCGCGTGACAAATCATCAAGAAAAGGCAGCGTTAACATCAGCTTACAGACTAACACAGAGACTTCATCTCTTTGTAAATGCTGCAAAGCGTGCTGGATTTTACAGACCTTTACTGTTTCGGCCCCAGATGTCGAAATTAAGTGACTTGGGTCTTCTTGCACCTACATTGTTGTAGAATGGCTGAAGTAATTTTTGGCATAAGTGGCATGAAAAATGGAAGTTGCACACTGTGTCCCTTTCTTGCTGCATTTTTTATTGTTTTCCAGGTGAAAATTTAAGAATGAGTAACAAACAAAAATGATATGCATAATTTCTATGGTAAGTGATTTAAATTCTGCAACAAATTGATGGGAAAATGGAATCTAATCCAGGAGTTGTTTTGGGAAAAGAGTTTAGGGTTCAAGTCAAACACTTAAACACTGCATTTACAACCAGTCTTAAATTTTAGGAATGTTGTTGTCTTGGGATGAACTATTTGCACATACACACACCCACCCCTTGTTAAGTGAATATATTTATTCTTAAACTGCAATTCATTCTGTTGGTAATTTTCTGTAGCTAATCTTCATATCTCATCTCCAAGTATTCAGAATGCCTTAAGGAGCAGCATTCTTTAAAAAGTGAACCACTTCCTGGTTGTCTTTCCACATGTACAAATATCAACTGGTAATCTTAGGAAAAGATGCATTTACAAGTCAACACTGTGCAAGCCCATAAATTTGAAGATGGATTTACTGCTCATACCGTTGCATTTTGGATTCTGTGTGAATGATGTCATACATATAGGGTTTTTATTAATTTCTGACTCATCTGGGGTTCTATTTTCAGTAACTACACTAAAAATTACTAATTGAATTAGATCCTCCTTCATTCTGATTCTACAATTGGTTTAATATTTTCTTTGAGGATGAAAATAGAAGACATTTTTCCAGTGGTATTGCTGTAACATGTGCAGTAGACATAAGGAAAGGAGGCATTTTGTCAGCCATTCCAGATGATCAGAGCAACATACTGGTGTGACTGAGGCTTCTGTACATTTTAGCAGTGTATTCCAAAGAATGCTCAGACTTCAGTGATATAGTCTGACACAACTTGCAATCCCAGCTAAGGAATGAAATCAGTCTCAACTGCTGCTAGAGATTAATCAAAGCATGTAAAAAAAGAAAAAGTGACTTGGACAGACTCAGCTTTGCACACACCCTTGTAGAGCTGAAACATCTGAAATCTGGAATAACAAAACATTGATTTTAAAGTATTCACAAGTTTTCTGAATTCAGCTTTTAGGAATTTCATTTTTCAGAAATAAACAATTTCAGAGATGTGCATTCCAGTCAATGCATGCAGGAGACAGGCATTTTAAAACCAATTTACAGCGCAAATAGAACTTGCAAATAGTATCAAATAACATATCTATTGTTACACACAGTACTTTCATTATTCAGATTTATGTGCTCGCTAACATTTTCAACTACAATGCAAGTCCCACCTGCAGCTCAGTATCTGTGGAATTTGATGAGATTATGCATGCTGTAGGAAATTAGGCAGAAAAACCATGAGTTATCTATTGACTACAAATCTCACAATGGCAGTTTTTCACAAATGAGAAATGCTAAAAAGATACAGATATACACATGTGCATTTGTGTATTTATATATGTATTTATAGGCTCATACACAGACATACCTCTAAACTAGGAAGTGTGCAAAACTGAGCAAGCCTTGTGAGAACAAGCATAAATGCAATGTGCAAGTGTCAACGTTTAAGCAGCAAAATTACACACCTCCTCTTCCTCTGCTTTGTCATTCAGGTCATTGCCATTAGAGCTACTAAAGGAAGTCACCTTAGGCTCCAGGTAGCAGAGGGACAGAGCGAGAGGAAGGGAAAATGTGAGTGAAAAAGGAATAGACTGGAAAGCAGACAGAAGCAGGACAAAGACAAGGAGAAAAGAGGGGATGAAGGAAGGAGAGGTAATAGGAATATAGTGCTGAAGGCCAGGTGGAAGGAAAGAAATGCAAACATCAGGAAGGCTAGGAAAAGTAATATAGCCATCCTCATCGAGCAGCGAACGGAAACTAAAAGAAAGGCATCTGAAGAAGCTGCATGAGACACGCAACTCAGTGCTTTTGTAGTCATTTGTATGGATTCTTCTCTCAACAACAGGGGAGCCTCGACTAGCTAGGGGTCTCATAGATTCAAAGGTATTAACTGGTGAAGCTGTTCTAGTTTTATTATGATCTGATGTTTGTTCCATGGAATTGCATTCTGAAATGTCTGGAATGGTAAGGAGGGGCTCTTCAAAGGGATCTTCCTCTGAAATATCTGAAAGCATGTCGATCTCAGGGACAGGTGACAAGTTGGTGAGATGGGATGACACAGAATGGATGGGCAGTGATGACGGGTGTATGTGAGTGAGCTGAAGAAAAAAATTCTGTGCACAGTGGAAAATGAAAGTACAACAAAAATGCAAGTTTGAAGCACATGAAGAGGGGAAAAAAGAGAAATTATTAGTTAGTGAAAACTTTTACTTAGAAGAAGGGATAGCTTTACTAACACAACAGAAATAAAAATTGCACTGTGTTTTACAAGCATCCAACTTGTTTACTTCAGTGGATTATGAAAGGAACCCATTACAAATGTTTTGTTCTCAGGCTGTAAAGAACTGTGCACTTTTGAACTGTAATAGTCACTTAAAACAGATGGAAGCAGACAGACACTCAAAGCTTTGGCAGAAAGGTCAAAGGACAGTACACGAAAGACAAGCTGGCACTTCTTGGGTTTATAACTGTTTTCTCTAAGACTTAAAGAGAACCAGAAAGGAAAAGAAGCATCTGCACTAGGGGAAAGAAAAAAGCTTTTCACAGAATAAGCATGTGTAACAACACCATACTGAACAGCTTCCTGGAACAACTTCCCAAAATACTGCCTTCCCTTCCTCCACTGTTTTGGTTGAAATATTGAAAGATCAACCATTTTTGAAAACAAGGGAGAATCACCATCTTACACCAAGCCCAAAGGTAGAACATGGTAATTTATTTTACCATTTTTCTCCCATAAAGAAACTGTGTGTCCCTTTTTTCTCATCTGTTTCAAAATTATTTCAACTCGCCAGCAAACAAAAAAAAAATAAAAATGCAGCTGTGGTATTTGTTCTCTTTCTACACTTGAATGGAGTTGGAACATATGAACTGCACAGAAAAACTCAGCAGACTCATTAGGAATAAAATGGGTAGCTAACTTGCAAAGATGTTTGAGGAAAAAATTACTCTTTAAATATTTAACTAAGTTGTTAAATTGCTGAAGTAGAGAAATTGCTGAAGTAGAAATGATCTCCAAGAGAGAAAGAGCAGAGAATTTTACCTGACACTTTAGGAGGAAATTTTCACATCGCATCATACAAAGTATAAATTTCTTTTACCTATTCCCCCAGTAGCTCAAGCAAACAAGACAAGCAAACATTTGCAACAGGAACAGATCACAGTACTTTTCACAGAAATCTATACCTTAGTCAACGTTTTTAAAGGATGAAATAATTTTCAAAGTTTTTAAAGTTTTTAAAGGATGAAATAATTCTGCAATGGCTACTAAAACAAAATTGTTACCTACGGTAATTAAACTCAATCATATATCCAACTTTGTAGAGTGTACACAACCATGGTATAATAACATTTTTATTCCAGTCTTTTATTCCAGTAATTGTTCAATTATTTACCCTTTGAAACATTTTTTCAAGAACTCATGCAAGCTTATTGAGCATTTAAATTAGATTTACAGCAATAAAAGAAACTCTCAGTCAGTGCCATTTAGAAGTTTGTATTCTCTTTACCTTACATATGCTTACATTAAGTTAAACACACAGAAAGCACTTGACAATTTTCCTTTAGTATTTTAATATAGTGTTCTGTATTATACTCAGAACTGATATACACTAAAGAACTACACATGGACACACACATCACATGAATAAATAATTTTGGTATGAAAGTCAGACATACCTTTCCATCCTGAGTCAACTCTAATTGTGGAGTTTTGAGTGGACTTTCATCTTCTTCTCTGCCACCTTCTTTTAACTTGGCCTGACCAGCAGCTTCAAGATCAATGATTTTATCTCCAGCAGCCTGCCCTCCAGTAGCAGAGAAATCTCTTAGAAGACTTCGGTCTGAAATACCCATGGGAGCTATTAGAGAGCAAAATAATTTTGGTTCATTTGGATAACCTGAATCATTTTGGTTTTAAATCTTATTAGGAAAAGCACTTTATATCAGCAATGAGCAATACAAGCTAGTTGCTGATTGATACAGTATATTTCAGCTTCTTGGCTTTACAAAAAGTCTGTCATTCCCATTGCACTGGTATGAACAGCAATGCATCCCTGTCATAAAACTTGCACTTATTACATATGGAAAAGACCCACATCAGACAAGTACTTATCAACTTCTTTATTAGTCTTGGAAGATAAATTGAAGGTATTGTTCTTTTGGGCGTGTAAATCACCATTAAAAAAAGAGAGAGAAATATTCAAGAGCATTTTGAGGAAATTCACTATTTGAGAGGACTAATGCAATCCAGAAATAGCTACACATATAAACTGCCACAGTATTTTTCACTGGAACCTTAGCAAAACTGCACAAACAGCTCAGTGAAAGTAAGAACTTTCCTCTCTATGTGCTTGCAAAAAATGGAAGGGGGAAATACTAAGCATGTATACTTAAATGTAGTCAAAGCACAAGAGAGTGAAAGGCATTAAATTATCTCTTATTTGACTCAGCATAGCAGGACTAACTGTTGTTAGTACAGCTCAATTGTAGCTAAACTCACATCAGTGTCATACCTCACTTTTACTCCAGTGAAGTTGTGTATGCCTGAATCTAAGTCAAGCTTCATGTTATTTTGCTGAAGTGTTTTTCTATTATATATTATTGCAGAAGTGATTTTGACTAAGACATGAGATTTTACCTCTCTCACACATAGTGCTGCTATACCTGCCTTTGGAAAGGGTGCCTATTTCCAAGCCAGAAGGTATTTCTGCTCAAAAAGACCAAATACCAGTAATGACAATAAAACCCTTAAGCTATTCAAAGTCAATGTAAAAGTTTTTAACTAAACACTAAGGTACTGAATAAATACACCAGGATAGCAATATACTGAAGAAAATGATGGAAAACTCTATGCAACAACTCATTCAGTCTTTTCTGTTTAGAGACACTCAGGCCAACCCAGATCCCAGAAGATGCCACTGACCGAACAATTTTATATAGTCTATAGGCTATATATTCATATAGCCTATGCCTTAAAAAAGGTATGAGTAATGTACACAGATGCTACAAACCCAATACAGAGAACTCCATATATTCACAGCAGTGCCACACCATTTAGGCAGTGAGTGAACTCAATATGTAGGTCACCTAATGCTGACAAGTACTTAAAGCGGCTTTAGATATTGAAATTCATAAATCTGTCAAACGACCTTCTGGCCATCCGTAATGTTTGTTAACATTTCTGAACATTGGTCAGGTCAGAGTGACAGCACATAACGTAAATACAACACTGAAAAAACAAGTTGGATTTCATACCTCCATCAAGGCTTCTGGAAACCCGTTTGCTGGAAGTGCGTTCGAAGTACGGAGCTGGTCTGTCTATGAGGTTGCTGGCCTGTCGTGTCTGCGCCTGCGTACGGCCGCTGTAGCGGAACTTGGAACCCAAGGTCAGAAACTTTGCTTTTGGAGGCTGTTCTGGTGATAAAAGTCTAAAAGGGAAATACGAAAAAAGTAATTTTAAAAGGATACTTATTTTAAGTATTTAATGAGGTAATTTGAAGCTACTTATTGTACTTCAGTTCACAGTGCGTAATCTGTGCTCTCCAACAAAGGACTCTACTGTAAGCTCTCCAAAGACCTTTAAAACAATACATGTTATTTATTGTTTGAAGTTGGAGTCAAAGTGATGCTGATAAGCATCACATTTTTCCACAGTATGACTAAGCATCTGGGACTCCTATTTTTGGTGCTATCTTGGTTAAATTTTAATTTTTTGTAGAAAGCTGAAGCCATTATAGGTCTTGTAGAATACCTCTCAGATCTCTCCTTGGAATGCCACTTTCAGTAAAAGCTATACATTACACTTCCAGTGCCTTTCCTGTATTCTGAGGTACCCATACAGCAGTAGCTCCTCCTCAAAGTTAGGGAATGGTATCTCAAAGCTGTATAGAAGGGACTATCAAGTGAAAAAGATTGAAAAGACTGGAGAGTTGTTACCCAATAACAACAGGTTTAACAGTCTACATTCAGACCGTAGTTTATTCACACTGCCATTTATAAAATTATATAGGTTGATGTTTGCTGGATATAAGGAGTGGGGGAAAGAAGCATATTGTGAAAAGGGTGAGAGAGAGATACATGTACTGTTAATGCAGGGTACATGTGTTTGCATCGTAAGTGTTGGAGTCCTTGTCAAAAAGTCCAGAAAGGGCTACCTGGGGAGGTGGTGGAGTCACTGTCCCTGGAGATGTTCAAAAAAATACTGGATGTGGCACTTAGCGCCATGGTTTAGCTGATAAGGTCATAGGTTGGCCATCTCCAAGGTCTTTTTCAACCCAGTTGACTCTGTACCATCATCACATGAGTTTGAAAACAGGTCCTCTCTACATCCCTGGATTTCCTCCAGTATGAGGACTTCAAGTTTGTACTCATCTAACCTCTATTGCTTGTACTTTGTTTTTGAAATCCTACCATCAACTGCAACACTAAGGGTCCACTGCCATCCTTGCTGGATAAGGTAAACAGTCATCACTGCAAGAACTCTCCCTAGTCCCCTCTTCTCTGGCAAGGCCTTTGAAATTGTTTCCTGGATCAATGTAAAGCTGCAAATACATGCTCACCCCTACTCTCTCTGTGTATAAAACTATCATACTATTGCAGACAAAGCTACTTGATTTGAGAATTTGCAAAGAACGAGCAGCTCACTGAACATCAACTTCTTTTAAGCGGAACCAGTAATTCATGTGCCATTTGTACTGAGGATGGCACAGATGGGCAAGTGAGAGTTCAAACTGTGCTGACTTTGTCCTCCTCCTTCTGCAGCATTTGCACAGAAATATCTGTGTCAGCAGAATCTGAGAATATGTTAAGGCAGTAACCACTACTGGGTTCTGAAGATTACAACAGTCATTTTAAAAGTGTTTCAGCAAAACTGAAGAATTTTCAGATACCTAGCAAAAACAGAACAGTGAGCTACTGTGATGAGCTGATCTTGGCTGGATGCCAGGGCCCCACCAAATACACTCCCCTTTCTAAGCTGGACAAAAGAGATAGCTGTAACAACCAGCTTATGGGTGAGATAAGGACAGGGAGACATCATTCACCAATTGCCCTCGTGAGCAAAACAAACGAGACTTGGGAGCAAATCAATTTAATTTCTTGTCAATCAAATCAGGGTAGGAAACGAGAAGTAAACCTGAACCTTAAAAATATTTTTCCCCCTTTTCCCTAAGAGGGGATGTTCATTGGGGCACTAACCAGAAGCATACAATTCCCCAAGTCCAAGATGCATATGCATGCACCTGAATCTTAATCTGTTCCAACTTTTATAAATAAAACAATTCAAGACAAAGTAATCCACTCTTCTGCATTGAAGTAACTTACGAACTTAAGGCTTCACTTTCATTGCTTCAATAAAAAAAGTCTTTCCCCCATTATTTCTGAGAGGGAGTACATTATGTACTAAGAGGAAGAAGGCTAAAAGGGTTTTTCCAAGGTTCCTTCCTTGACAAGGTTGCAGCATTAACTGCCATTTTTATCTTCCACCCTGCTGAGATAAACTTTTAATCTTTTAATGTGGAAAAAACAGGAGAACTAATTACTTCCTGATTAAGGGCATTTGAATGGATTCTTGTATTACAGGTTTAATTATGTAAAATAACTGAAATCTATATTTTTACCCCTTTAAGACATTTGGAGGAGATGATTTAAAAAATCATGAAAATATCAAATAAAACACCAATAGAGGCAAAAATATAGGCATGTTTCTGCAGACACTGGTTATGATCCAGAGCTGCCAACTAAGCTTACCTCAAAATTTTTATTAGATATATGTTTGACTGTATTTTTAAAGTAGGTTGCTGCTCTTTCAAAATGCTACTGGAATCCTCTACGTTTGAGCTGATAACAAGTGAATACAACGCCCTTTGGTAGTCATTTTCAACACAGTTCATTACTTCATTAATTTTTATAAATAACTTCATACACTGGTGAATTTCCTACACATTATAAGAAAATGGATCTTAGTGTGATTATTTGAGACAAACTGAAACATTACATAAGGCAACACAAGGAATCTTATCATGTTATATAGGACATGCTAAGAGATTTGGAAGCTAAAAATATGCATCTAAACTGTATACAATTTACAGTGGCATCATACACAAGCTTTACACATGCTCTGAATGAGCTACAGTCTCTTGGACTAGCAATTGCTTTCTGCTTTTTATCTTTGAAGGAAAATAGAGCTGGCTTTATTTTACTGTTTTTAAATCAGGATGAGAGGTCCTGAGGATTTTCTCTCTGATGACATCATCAGAGTATATGGATTTACAGAATGGTTCAAGTATTTGTTACATAATTCTTGTTATAATGTCAGTCCTGGTTAGGAAAAGCCACTTCTGATTGGAAAAAAATCCAATTATTTTTATTATGTCTGAATTTCTGTAGTAAGATTATTTCATGTTTATTAATGCTCCTGAAAGCTTCCAGACTAGCAAATGGTAGTTGTCAGTTTAGGATTTTTGACTTCTGTAAGACTTGCTTTTTCTTTATTCAGGTCTATTTTATTGCTATAAAACTAGGAAATACATCTTACCAACAAAGCAAATCACTGCATGACTTATTTGAAGAGTATTAATAAACTTTTCACTGCAGACAGAACTGCATGCTATTTGTGGTAATGGACACCAGCAGCCAAAGCAGACTTCAAATTTTCAAGAATAGAAAGCTGGACTATGTTAATAAACAAATTCTATCAACATGAAAAAAAATCTCTGGTCAGGATATAAATAAGAAGTGCTTCTAAATTAAGTATTTGAAGACTGATTTATGCTGAGATTTTGCAATCTCAGCATAAGTTCTACCTTTGCATTTAAGAACATGCTACATTCAATGAAGATCTGAATACTGAAAACTATCCAATGAAACAGCTCCAGTAATCATCTCCTTAGGCCTCCTGGTCCCCAGGTTCTCTGAAGTTCTGCCTAGCAAGTATATTCAGCAACAGGATTGCATCTTTAAATACAATACTTTAAAACAAACCCTTTTTTTTTAAAAAAAAACCACCACAGGCTACTGAAGGAGAAAGCTTACCATTTACACACCCTAGGTACTGTACTTTGAAGAAAAAACCCCCAGATTCAATGCCTATCCAATTCACAGGAAATTCAACCTAAACCTGTGACTCCTAAGCTGCAGGAGGCACATGCACACTCTAATGGAATGTGTGTTATTGTCAAAATCAAATGATGTCAAAATCCTTTTTAGTGGAGGAAGTAGACAGAGGAACAACTCTGTGGCCTCTTGTTGAGGTGCTCATTTACAAATAGATCATCGTTTCAATGATCAATTCAGAATTCTGTGCTCCTCCTTGCTGGAGAAAAAAAATGCAGAGGATGTTATGGATTATGACATAAACAAATAGTCTGTTTAAAGTGATTCTCTGTTCTTTGAAGAATGACTGAACTCAGTCTAGTTCATAAATAAGGAAAAACTCAGCTAGAAGCATTTACACTCAGCAGAATGTTCAAATCAATTCAATGAAGATTAGTGTCAAGCCCTAAGAGCTTCTTGTGATAATGTATAAGGGCTTTCTAGATGGTCATTCTGGAAAGTCAGTCTCTCAGGAAATCTTACCACAAGCCACAAAATATGTCAAGATTGGAAGGGACCACAGTGGGTTGTCTGGTTTAACCTCCCTGCTCAAGCAGGGTCATTCCAGAGCACATGGCACAGGATTGAGGCCAGACAGTTCTTGCATACATCCAGTGCTCCATGACCACTTGTTTAGTTTCATCCTCTCAGCACTCAAAGTTTTGATAAAGCAATTATTTGTGCTTGAGACTTTAGGAACTGGTAATTTGGGGTCAGTTATTGTCAGGGTATCTTCTGTCTAAGAGGCAATACTCAAGGGGCAAAGAAGGGGAAAATCTTTACTTTCCTCCCATCCTTTAAAAGAAAGATATTAGCATACCTTGCCAATTAGGGGAAGGAGAGAATTATCATTTACCTGAAGAAAGTATGGTGCTCCACACAAACCTTCCACAACCTTTTAGCAGCCCGATGGTTTGGCAGTTTGAACCCAATAGTGCTCTCAAACTGTTCCAGCTGGAAAGAATCCACAAATAAATTAACCCATTTCCTTAAGCTGGCTATTAATTCATAGGTAGAGTTCAGATAGTTCCATTACTGTATCAAGCTGTAATACTCCTATCATAAAACTTAAGTTTTTGGGTTTTTTTTAATTTTAAAAAGATCAGAATTTCCAGCCTTTTAAAAGATTTATACTTGGTGGGCTATGTCATGATGGATAAATTGCATGAAGCAGCTGCACTGCAGATTGTGCTTTACACTTTGCTTGGATTTACTGAAAGTCTGAAATCCATACGGCAGTGTTAAACTTACATGATTTGTATCACTAGATACAAGACTTTCTTAGCAAAAATAATTCATCTAAGCATCAGTCAGTGCAAGAACAATACATCCGCATTAGAAAACTTACATAACTACCATGTTAATATTGTAAAAATGGTGCTTGGATGTCTTATTTACTCATACAGTAAAAGCCACCTTAAAAATTTTACAGTATAAACTAAAAAAGCATTACAGTATTTGACATTTTGGGGGTTTTGTTAAATTTCCTGTTACAAAGGGATCAAAATGTTAACATGCACACATCCCCTTCAGAAACTCCCAGAAACTTTTAGCTGTAACTGAAGAGAAAGTTGAATCCACTACTTCCATAGCAGCTAATAAAGATATAACATTCTACAGGACAACTCAAGCTTTTGGTTACAGCCACAAACTTAATGTGCTGACATTTAGTAAATGATTATACTCATAGAGGAAGAGCAGCTGAATCTCTCCCAGGACTGCAAGTTTGCACAGTCAGAATATGGCCAATGTAATTAGCTTTTTGTGTAAAAAACCCAACAAAATAACTAGACAGCTTCTATTAAAAAAAAAAATTCTTCCTGGTTTGCCTTTACTAATCAAGATAAGCATTTAATACAATTATTAGAATCTGAAGAGGAAAAAGCATTCATAATTTCCGCTTGAACACATAAGCTTATGAGGACAACTGTGGAAAAAAATGAGGATTTTTTTTGTTGCTGGATAGAAATGATTTCTCAAAAGAAACAAGACTGAAAGGTGCTACTCACTTCTGCTGGCCTGACTTTGATGTAGAAATTACTTCGCTTGTAGGAAATCTTCAGAATTTTTGGCCAAGCGAAGCGGTTGATCCGGAGTCTGTCTTTGTAAATCAGCAGACCATTAGCACATACACCCAGCATGATATCCACACCTTCAGAATCCTACCAGGTATGAGACAATTTCATAAAAATCACTTCAGTAACATTCCAAACAAGCAATTACTACTGACATACCTTGAGGGAATATTGTAACTGAGACATGTTTAATATTCAAACATGACTCTGACAGTGAGATTCTTAAATCAGAAATAGTCAAGTATATCCATTTTATGGGAAGGACTTTGGACTCTAAGTAATGGTTTTGGCATTCTTATACCACAGTTCTGGGAAATCCTTCAATATTCTGGTAATAGGGACTAAGTTAACAACTTCAAAGCGGGAAAGGTATGGCCTTTGTGTGTGCTAGCAATAATTTCAACAAATATTAAAAGAAGAAAAATTAATACCAGGTCAAAAAAAAGCAATCAGTGAAAGTCTGAACAAGCTAGTGAGAGCAAGATGGTCTTTCACAGTCACATACTATTCCAGCAAAGATAGAGGAGGTAATGGGTTGGTTTCTGAGCATTCTTTCGCTGACAGCATTTGATGCAAGTTTTACAGGCTACAAAACTAATGCCTTACTGATACACTACACAGTACAGGAGAATCTCATATCCTCCCCAACGACAGATCAACTACATGAAATGCCAACACTGTCATTACGGAGACAACACAACACTGACAGAACTAAAAAATAAAATTTAACAATGCTTCTCCAGGACTTAAAAGTCTTGGTTTTCTTTTTAAAATGCAAGACTGATATGCTTACAAGACCCTAAATTTCCTAATGATTTGAGATTCTGGATTAATGAGAGGGAGTGGGAGGAGGTTATAAGTTTGTCTTTTGGGGTTTTAACTAAAAAAAATAAATTCACACTTGAAATGAAAATTTGATTTGACCTACCCAGGAAGTGGAAAAGGCACCAAAATCCTCCCCCTATTTTTTAGGATCTCCCCCCCTATTTTTTTAACTCTCATGGTACTATGAAAACAATTATGTGTTCCTTTACGCTTTACTTTATTGGGTCTGCATCTCCTTTTCATAGAAAATATGACATTTTAAACGTATTTATCTGCTCTTATGAGTGAAATATTATTTCCAAGATGCACATGTCTATGCATTGTAAAATTCTACTGATGTTAGAGTTGTAAATTGAGTAATTATTGTAACCAAGAGATAAAGGCTTACAGACAAAAATTAGGCATATGACTTTTTAAAAAATAATCTATGTATAAAACATTTTCTCTAATACTTAGCACGCCTATTGTAAAACAAAACCAAACAAACCAAATCCACAATACCTTGGCATGATGTAAATCCACTCCATACATGGAGAGTCTTTTAGCATTTTCTAGGAACTGGGAATCCGCCTGTGCTGGAGTCAAGCCCCTAAAACCATTGAATAAGTCTTGAGTTTATTGGCAAAAGAACCAAGAGTCAAAACTGAGTGGAATCCTGGAATTCAGACTGATACAAAAGCCTCAGTTTATAAGGTATCAATAGCATTTTTATTCTACCAGAAAAGTGTTCTTTCAGAGCATATTGTTTTACTTGAGTACAGATTTCCACCTTTACTCTTTCAAACCATCTGTATGTTGCTTAAACTAATTCATATAAAAATACTTTTTTCCAGAAGTTCTCTACCAAGACCTTCGTGCAACTACTTTTTTCAAAGTCAGCTTTCTAAACACACCAAAGTAAGTATTTTCAGTTACATAGAAAACAATTTCCAGAGTAACAGTAAATTTACTTTAGCAGTTTTACACATACTCTTAGGAGAATTGACATAAATGTGACAAAGCAGACGACTTTTTCTAATCCCACTGTATCTCACATACCTGTGTGTTTTGTGTAGCTCAGCCACTTTCTCTTCCATTTCTTGAGTCTGATTGGGTGCAAACTGGAATTCACTGATATAATCACTGCTGTGCTCCTCTGGGTCATGATCACCCAGCTCAGCCTGTAGAGTGTATGAACCAAGGAGGGCGTGAGTCACAAAAGAGCACGGCAGTCGGCCAGATGCAATATCCTGGCGAAGCTGTAGGCACAAGAAATACCTGCAAGACAAAGGAGAAAAAAAAAGAACCAAAGAGAAAGAACAAAGAGAGGGTTACTTTTGGCAGATAATGAGAAATATGGCAGAATTCATCAAGATGCATATAAGCATTTTTTTAAGTAAGTGAATGCATTAATAATGACCTTCTATTATTTGAGCATTATTACTACACAGTAAATTTCACTTGATTTTTAAGAGTCAATACTAGTTTAATAAACAATGTGAAAAGTAGGAAAAAAATCTGATTTCCAATACAAATGAATAGAAAGCTATCTAGTTTTAAACAAAAGCTGACTTAGGAACTCGTTCAGTTCACATTGTAGCCTGTAGGTATCTATGGTTTAGAAATATAAGCTATGCATTTCTTTGACATTTCCCTTTGGCTCTGAAAGTCTAACTTTCATACCCCTTGCAGTTCACAAGCTAATCATGTCATGTAATACACAAAAGAAATTTGTACTAGATGTAGATACCAATCTAGTACTGAAACCATAATTACCTTTCTTAAACCATGTACGTATTAGAATTCAATCTTTCAGGTATACAGCCTTCTACCAAATTTAACAAGCTAAACATCAGCAGACATTGTATTTCAGCAGAGATTTTTTTTAAATGTAAGTGAAAAAAGTCTTACTAGTGAAACTTAGATTGAAGATATAACCAAAGGATGTTTTTATGAGTTGAATCACTGAAAATTTTCAAAGAAAACACACACAACTTCTTGTAAATACACTCTGTACTAAATGTCTTTTATGATCCTACAAATCACTATCTGTAGTAATATATTAGCTGCACACTTGCACAGCTATTTTATGCAGAAGACTTATGCAATGCAACATGTAGTACAAACATATATCCTGCCTCAGCAGAGTCAGCTGACTCCAAACCAAAGTATTTAGTTTTCCTGTAACTAGTGAGAAAAATGAATCAGTTCCCTGTATTCTATCCCCAGTAATCAGCCCTGCAATGCTGTTTTTAGGTGCTTAGTATCCACTGCATTCCAAGTATTTTTTAAGTCTGGAAGGTAATTATTTTCAGGTTTTTTTATGTTTTATGGCTTTATTTAAAGCATATGTGTAAACCCACATTTTCATCAACCTAGTCTAGATTATTACCGAAGTATCTAGGATCTCTTGAGCTTTGCTCAAGACCCCCATGCTTTCATTTGTTTCATAATAAAGGAGCAGTCTGACAATAAGCCACTGGCTTCTTTCACATACTACCGTGCACACTTCACCTGCTGCCCAAATGATATCCCTACTTACCATTAAATTCTTCTTGCTCAGGTTTCTTCCAGAAGTTTTAATTTTACCTTTTCAACCTCGCTCCTAAAAGCAGTTGATGTATGTAAAAATATCTATATTGTGCAGTACCCAGAAACTGAAGAAGAAATTATATGTGTCTTTTAAATGAGACTAACAGTAATTTAAAGTTTAAAATTAGGACCTGTGCATACCTAGTGATGTCTTCAGTCAACTGCGACGGATCAGGGGGATAAAACTTGACATTAAAGGTGAATATCCACGGTAAACCTAAACATGGGAAATAGCTGATAGTTAATCTCAAATAAGTCCAAGTAAACAGTAAAAGAACTTTATTGAAAAATGTTAGAAAGTAAAATAAAACATAATCACTGAAATCTCAAAGGAAGTTTTTTTGATTTTTACCATACATTATTAAGAAGCATAGATTATTTTTATTAGCAGGTAGAGACCTACAGACATAATGAATGATAAGCATGTTTAAAAATTATTTTTAAATAATGTTTTACAGTAAGTTACACAAATATCAGAAGACATTTTAATTTGAAAACAACCTGAATATATTAGCCCTCTTAAGATATTGTCTGTTCAAAGGTACTTGCATTGAATTTGTGTTTATTTCCAACTCCTCCAAGGTTAACAGTCTCCTCCTGTCTAAACTTAGTTTGAGAGACTGTACAGTAACTGTGAACATGAACTATTGGAATGAGCTCTGTGCTGTTGCATATAACAGGAAGATAAAAAATTATTCATTGAGAATGTGTGAAAGACAAATATTAGCCATTCCTACTTGATAAAATATTTTTCTGGTAAACACCACATTAAACAACTGCAATAGCAGTGATATTTAAATTCTTATGTGTTAAAATTGTTAATAACACGTGGATTTTTTTTAAGTAAAAGCATGCTTAAAACTAAATTAATTTGAAAAAGCATGAAATGTTGCCTTTAGTCACAGCTCTGTTTTTAAATAATTTTTTAAGGTTTGAAAGCGAAGTCACATGTCAATAATTAAAATACATTTTCAGAATGTTAGATTTTTGGACAGTAAATTACTTTCAAAATCTGTGTTACTCAGATAAATCATGCTTTGAAAAATGTGTCTTTCTACAGCAACAAAAAAAGACTGAAATGCCATTTCCAATACAATGCTAGAAATAAGTGCTGACGTTATTTAAAGTTACTTTCTTTAAAAAAAACTGTTCTGAAATTCCATATATAGTAAAGAGGTGTGTCAGAATTTCTAATGTCTTCCAACATTTAAAAATTATTTTGGTTTTTCAGACATAGCTATTCACTGAAGCACTTCAATTTTTGTTTAGGTATAAACCTCATTCTACAGCTGGCTGCTAAGCCACTATTTCTTTTTGAGAGCTCAGGGTTTAATGATGTTAAGTGTATCTTAACATTCCCAGTTATGAAGTTTTTGCACAATTTTGTGTACAACATAAGGCAGGACCCTTAAATTAGGTCTCATTTATCACTGCATCATCTACTGCAAAGCACTTCAAAAGAGAATTAAGACAAAAATATCTTGGGGAAAAAGAAGTCTGATAGTAATGAATATCTACAGCATAACAAACAGAGTCAAAGATGGAATAGATTAACCTACTTCCATCATCTCCCAGGGAATCAGCATAATTTAATGAAAAGGTGCTGATATCAGTTAAACCAAAGTGAGGAGTATGAGCAATAGGGCCAAAATATCTACGCAGAAAGCATTCAAGGAGAGCTGCATGTTAACAGAGCTGTAGACAAATGGATGAAGGATGTATTCTTCCTCGCCGGTAATAAACTGGTCTTCAAGTTTTTCCTGGTCTAAAACTACAGTTAAAGTAGTCACATATGAATTCCTGTTTAACTGTTGCTCTTTCATGTCAGCATTCCTACAGCTAACTTTCAGAAAGCACTACAGCCAGGAGACATAGGTGTGGTTTGAAGAAAAAAAAAACTGAAAAAATATTCTATATTCTTTATAAAAAGTGCATAAATCCTCTGAGTGTGTAGCCTTTGTGAAAAGTCATGTCTCTACTCATACTGATTAAATTTCCAATTTATTGAAAAAATATTATAGTTGATTTTGTACTAAATATTTTCTGGACAGCTGATGACCATGTATTTTACCTGATTACTGAAAGGCCATTTATCCCCTAGATACAGAATAGCAAGTTTATTACAATGTGCAGTCTATATTTCTACTCCTCACTAAAGCATACTTTTTATAGCTGCACAAACGAGGCATATAATCATAGTTGTCCTCACATAATAATGCACATTATTGCTGTCTCTTTATAGAGTTGGTAGCCAAGACAAAAAAAACCAAACAACCCCAAAGCTGATTTAAAATTATATTTAGCATTCTGTCTCTGATAAGGCTCTCTGTTTCAGCGTTCAGCAGTATGGGCTACAGAAATGTCAAAAATTTTTCTAGCCAGCTAGTTACATCAAAAATGCTTCTGTGGCAACTTTAGGCACATTCTTAGAGAAAAAGAATGCAATATAACCAAACAGCTAGCAGCATACAATTAACATGATTCATCCCATTTAAACTGGGAAAAATCAGTGAGGGGTTTTTTTTCCAGTAAACGCTTTTTCTGGCTTTTACTCATGATCTCCTGTATGTCAGCATTTCAAGAAATTTCCTTTGAAATTGAAAGAAAAAACCTTTCCTTTGGCACAGGTACTTAGTTCTCTTCAACAATAACAATCTGCATTCTAGTGTAATCAGCTTAGATCAAAATCAGCTAGAATTCTTACAGATATAAAGCTAAATATATATAAAATAGATGGATATTAAATAAAGTGAACCTGCATAAGTGACCACCATGTTTTGATGCCTGAGCATACCCATACATTTGTTAGCATTAAAATCAGACAGCCAGAGTAGTGCACCTAAAATGCAAGCTCTTTCCTAATTAATTAAAACTTCTCTTAGTACCCCAGCCTATTCTGTATTCAGAACATCTGAACACTCTCCATTTCTTACAACATACAAAACACAGAATATGTGATGTGGAAGTATTGCTTGCAGTAAAAATTCTAATCATGCTGCAGGCTATAAAAAGATGAAATTTACATAATATTACCTTTGGTTTAAACAGATAGATTCCCAAATTGAATTTGGTATAAGGGTGACCCAACAGACCCTCTGTGTAGTCTGAGATTTGACTATTTCAAGGTCAGTTGCTATTGCTCGTACCGGCACAATATTCTATAGCTGTGATTCTCAGTTTTGCAAAAGCCTGAATCCACTTGAGATGTACCAATTTTCAAAAAGATAGTGACAGAAATGTAATTACCTACCTGTCCCTGAAAGAAGTAATTAGAGGTTTTAACACATGCCAGTGGATAGCCAAGTACATGAGTTAAAAAAAGTCAAGAATTCATTTTCCTGAAGAGATCAGGCTGGCTGAAAGCAAACAAGATTTTTGTCACCTTTGTAGCCCTGAGAACAGAGACAGTAATTTGTGGATCATGTTCATTAGCTGAAGTAACATCAGTAATTGCTGAGATCCAACATAATTGCCCAGCCAAAGGCCAACCTGGTACAAGTAAGAGATTGCACAGAGGGGCTGAGGACTGCAACACAGCCTGCAGAACATGACCTGGGGGAGACTACAGGATTCTTATTTTGTCTTTCCCAGTCACAAGTGGTATACACATGCCCAATGTGCAGAGTATTACTGTTGCCCACATTTAAGAGAGACAGAGATTGTTGTAAATTTTAGGTTGCAAACTGATGTGCTGAACTACATTTCTGAAAGAGTCACCTTTGTGTGTTCACATCAATGGATTTGTCCAAACACACTTATCTAGCATGCTAGTGCTTCAGTTTGCACCATACAAGAGAAAAAGAAATCACTGAATATTTAGAGTTGGTAGGGACCCACAAAGATCAGCAAGTCAAGCTCTTAAGTGAATGGTCCATAGAGGGGGTTGAACTCACAACATTGGCTTGTTTTTTTGTTTTTTAGCACCAGGCTCTATATAACTGAGCTAATCTCAGGTTCAAGAGTTTTGTCATTTCCAACCTTCAAACAGACTAAAAGGTTTTACGGGTATCTTAAATCTAATGAGTTGTTTTTTGGGGTTTTTTTTACATTCTTGATTAAAGACAAATATATTTAGAATTAAGCCTGAAATGAAAATAAGTCTCATTACTTGATACTTGTGTAGTTGGAGGACTAAATGTGCCTGCATTAAGATTCCAATATCTGGAAACTTTAATAGACTAATGATGAGGAACACAACTAACAATATGTTAATTACTTGCATATTGGTGTAAGAAAGTGTCATTTAAAAAGCCTTAAATCATGTTCTTACTTTGCTGTTTGTTTTATTATACCTATCAACTCTGAAATACTATAGACCAGAGAAAAAAAAAAAACCATCCTGTCATGATTCCTCATTCAGTAACTGGACTTGCTCTCTAGTATAAAATACAGGTCTTCATGCTGTATGGAAAATGAAACCCCCTTAACATATTTTATTTGTAGTGCATATGATACAGTCTTAAAAAGAACTTTGTCTAGTGCATCCAAAAGATTTTCAGATCAGTTCTTACACTTGTGGCACTAACTTGTACTCTAGATAGCATGCAAACTGCTACAGAAGACAAAAAGATATCAACATTTGTATCAACCAAGTTGATACAAAAAGTATGAACATTTTCCATCCTTTGTCATTTATTCAAACCAAACATCCTTTAGTCCGCATATTTGGACAACTAAGAGATTTTCACTGAAGACCTGCAGGACTGCAGGACTGAAGACTTGTAGAAGTTCCAATACCAGTAATTCTTTCTTAATTTAAAGAATTAATAATTATGGCTGCTACTTGCATATTAGTACATTCACTGTTTTAATAGGTCTCGTTTGCTTACACAAGAGCATGTTGGATCAAAAAAACAGCTTCCAAGGAGGCTTCTGTAACTTTCATTTTTATATAGAAAATATAAACCTTCCTATTAAGGGATTTCACCAATTGGCAAAGATGCGAAGAGAAAGGAATTAACACCACTATGACTTCTGGAAAAAGTGAGTATTGCTTTAAAACAGCAGAGTCAACAGCAGTAAAGAAACCATCTGTTTGTCATTATAAATAACACACTGCTGTTCTTAATTACAAATACAGTCAGTTTCTAGGCTTAAATTCTCATTGTGTTGTAAGTCTAGGCTTGTAAGTATTATCATCACCCTCTTCTCCCCACTTTCCTATCAGGTACTACCCAAAAGGTTTCCATTAGAAACAAAACAACAACAAAAATCCTGGTTTGGCCATAAATGAGCAAACCAATGGCAATAAGTTCAGTAAGGGCAAAGGCTGTCTAGCATGTTTGAGTGGCCACTTATTTTGTCATATGTAGACTCAGGCAGAGTATCACCTAGATTTACTCTCCATGCACTCCCCATTTACTACAAAAGCTACCCAGCTAGTGAAGAGCTTTGACAGAGCTTAATACAGACAGAGTAAAATAAATTATTCATCATGTACTGAATACAGGAAGCAGAAAGGCATTTCAAGCAGATTCAGTCTGAAAAGCACTGTAGCAAGACATTCCAAGATTATGCTCCCTATTCTTTCTCCATTCTGAAAATGATGGACATTATCAAAAAAGTCAGTGGTGAGCTGACCAGTATTGAATAATATCCATTTTCTGTAAAACATATTAATTCCCTTTTTGTAGGTTCATATTCTTCTGGTGAGTCTTTGAAGAAAGTCCTAAGGCAACACTCATGACCATCTTTGCACTGGATTGCATTCTCCATCCAATAACCATCAGCACAAAGTTGAAAAATATGTTTCAGGATGCAAAAGTACCAAGTATTACTCACACATCAAGAGGAAATTTTGAGGAAATAATATATTTGATTAGTTTCTAATATAATAATCATTATAATATAGTGATATAATAATAAAAACACATAATATAGTATAATTAACTTCTACAGCATAATGCTGAGTGATTGCCTCTCCCCTACTTGTACAGGGTATGGAAATAGAAAATTTGTCTACTGTTTTAAGGTGATTACATCACTTCACCACATAGAAATTATTTGAAAGCTGTAAGTAATCAACATCCTACTACAACATTTGGCTACTATATTTTATGAAGAATATTTCTGTGAGGAAAAATAAGAAGCATTACATCTGAATACAGAAGTACTTACTTCGAATTTGTCTCTTAATTTCCTTTGAAGAATCTAGCCAGTTCTGAAAAAAAGAACAAGCAAACCACAGCCAGCATTTAAAATCCTCAATTATAAAAATATTCTGATATAATCTGTGCAACTTATTAAATAGCTTTTAGCATTTCAGTTGTGATCAGTACTGATATGTGGAAAGAGACTGTTTTGTGACAGGTCATCCAAAAACTTAACTTTTGGAAGTGAGACTAAGGAATCTGTAACATATATTCATTGGTAATTCAGACAGTCCTGTTTGCTAGTTTTACCCATGCATGTTAGAAAACAGGCTGAGAGACTAGGAACATAAACCTTTAACTACAGTTACTGAGACTTTCCTTCATGGAGTTTGAACCTTTACTTCCCATGGCCACACAAGCACACACAAGAGCATTTAAGGAAGAAACAAACAAAGCCAGCCTGACAGCAGATCTTCCAACATTTCACAGACAGATGTGAAATGCAGGGAAGAGTTAGATTGTGAAGCCAAGGAAAATCCCAAGGCTTTTTCACAGCTCACTGCAGGTACTTGCAGTTTTAAAGTCTGAGGGAATAATACCTCAGTGCCCGCACAAATGTTGTCAAAGGCTTGCTTCTACCAATGTTACTCACCTAACTTAGCAAAGCAGAACATCCTGGGTATAACGTGACCCACTTTTTCAATCTATGGTAGCAAACAAATTCCAGGTGCAACATTGTTTCCCAATACCATATCCCCTCAGCCTCTATTAGGGGCTTTTGCACCCAAAATCCATCTTCTTTAAAGAAGACAAAAATGCTAGTCTTATTTCACAGGTCTGTGCAAATTAGGAGAATGTGGAACTATATTTCCGTAATAGTACAAATCTTAAACACACATCACCCCTGGTGACAGAGAATGTCACCTATGAATACAGACCAACACATCAAGTTGTCTATTGTAAATTACCTTGGTCCAAGTAGATTTCATCACAAGTGCACCATGTATATATTAGATGAATATTATTTACAAATTAAAAGCAAGACTCCCTTTTTATCATTTATTACATTTGTAATGTTTTCAAAAAAGGCATTAATTTCACATTTCTCGCTTTGTCTGTGATCTCTACTTGCCAGAGCTATGATAATTTTTCCAGAGAAGGCAAAGTCCATAACATTTATAACACAGGAAGAGTTAAAAAGCTTTTCTCCAAAATCCTGGATACCATTTATAACACTTAAGTCAGAAAAATAGTTTTCTGTTAGAAGAACCCTGACATGGAAAGGCCTTGGAAGACAATGTAAATCTTCAAATAATTTTAACTCAGCTACAGTTATTATCCTAGGTTTTCAGTTTTGGCAAGAATTCCATTCTGAAATTACCCACAGCCATATTCTTGCAACTACAATAACTAGAAGTATCTTAAACCTTTACTTTTTATTTTATTTTAGACACAGCATCAAGTAAATAAATAGAGAATATACCATGGAATACCTACAACAGAAAAATATGATTTCTGAGTACATAATACTTTCAGTGCTTCATCTTGTATCATTACAAAGCAGAGAAAAAAACATACAATACAGACTATGCTGCAAGATTATAAGAGTAATCCCTTCTTTACACAAGTTGTACAGTTAATTTTCTGATTTTTCCAAGCCTGAAATAAGCTCATTGGAAGCAGACTTAGCCACCAACTTTCATTACTGCTCTGTCAAATAAAATCAGATGCTTATATTCCCTTTTGGCATAATTACCAGGGTGGATTTTTATTTTTTTTGCATCTGTGTCTTTTGTCATGGATGAAAACAAACACCACAAAAAATCTACCCTAAATTAGAGCTCTTAATGCAGAATAGACAGGTCTGTCTTACAAAACAAAAGACAAAGTGTATACACACTACTTTCCTCCAGTAGGCAGAAATCTATTTGTTTAATTTGTGAATGGTAAGGTTATGGATAAGACAAAGTAATGTATTGTCAAAGAACAAAATGTTCTCTACCAGTACAGAAGTATTTTGTACAAATCCAGAAAAGCAACATTTCCAGCTGGTGCCCAAAACTAAAATAGAAAAATAAAAGCAGAAGCTTTCTAACAGTACTGCAGACCAAAGGGTGAATGGAGCATTCATGAACTTCTAGAGGGTACAATGCAATGAAATCTCTAATTAAACTTCAGGCTAATAAATCTAACATTTGCAAAAAATGAAAGAAATGATTAAGTACTAATTAATTGGCCTAGATAGTTTTAAACTGTGTATTAAAGCTAACAAAAATAAGTCTTATTGGAAGACATAACCTCTCTCCCAGCTGCACAGAGCATCCATGGAGAAGAGTTAATGGGACTCCTCCTCCAATGGTACACCGATGGTGCATTGGGGAGCAGCTCTAATTCAAAAGCTTGCCTGGCATTCACTTGCCACATGCCACAGCTGCCGTCGGGTTCAACAGCTGGCTCATAAATGGGTGGTTGTGAGGAGTGCACAAGAATGGGAAAAACACACATCATTCAGCATTTAGTACTGCCTGGCCTGGAGGTCAGGGATTTGGGGCGTTTTAATCTAAAACAGCTACAGTCAGGAAAAAAAAAAAAAAAAAAAAAAGGCATCAGAAAGAACTGGTACCAAAATTAAAAAGTAACTAAAACTTAATACAGAGGTGAACAAAAAAGAGGGCCCTAAACCCAGCAAAAGTTCTGAGAAAGTAGGAGGTGTGAAACATACATTTGCTAGGAAAGAAGTTTTTTTTAAACTTCTCCAAATAACACTAGGAATGTATTTGTATGCAGACAACAAAATCCAGCAACTCTGGTTGTTTAGTCTTCACAACAAAAAGGACCAGATTTCTCCAGAAGTTTTTAAATAAAAGCCTGCTGCTGTCCATAACTCAGGTGAGAAGTGATCTATTCTACTTTTGAATAAGGACCCCATCCTCAGATATTTCTCAATTTATGTAAACATCTCTTAATTTATGTAAATTATTATGAATGTTGCTTCACAGACAATGGATAAGGAATTCATTATTATTCACGCTGAAAGAGACCACTGGACATAACTGATGCAAGTGTGATTCAAGAGCCAGTTTTCAATTAGATGATGTTTGCCCAGGTTCATATCCAGTCAAGTTTTTAGTATCTCCAAGGAAAAAGACATGAAAAAACAGATGGGGTCTTTTTAAAGAGTGGACTTCTGCTTCTCTATTCAAATGACTGAAGAATACCAAGAAAGTCTTAGTCTAACTAGAGGAATAAAAAAAAAAAAAAGGGAGAGGGAAAAAAAAAAAGAACCCTACGCCAATCCAAAGTTTTTTACTGAACTTTCAAAAACCTGAGGCTCCCTATTTTACCTCCTAGAATCTACTCTGGTGGGCTATTTTCTGGTACAGGTCAAGGATAACAGGTCTAGTATTAGACGATTTCTCTCTCGCCAAAGATGTTTTTGTTATTTTGTTGTGTTTTTCAATACACTGTACAGTGTACAGTTTTTCAATAGTGAGAATCACAAATAAAGCAACAAGTAAAAATAACAGATAATATTAAGATTATGATATCAGTTAGAAGATCTTATCTCTGGAAATGGTTTACAAATCAAGAAATAAAATTAAATATCTAATAACGTAACAAGCTCCTTTTGTATATGGGGATTTTTAACATAGAGGAATGAAGTATTTTGCTCAATACAGCACAGAAAGCTTTGCAGCAAAGCAAATAGCTCTAGCAAACAGCTTAATCAGAATGGAAGTTGTTAGAAATTCAGATTTATTCCTACCATGAAACTACACTTAATTAAAAAAAAATAGTGTAAAGAGAAAGATGACAGGAAAAAAGCAAAAACTTTTAGATGCAGTATGATGTAATGATGCTCCTACTACAAATAGAGATTAAAAAGAAATACAGTTTTTCCTGCTCCAATCTGTAATTATTCACCTGGGAGATTTTTATGAAGAAAAGGATGATCATACATAAATCTTTAGTTCATGGAGGATGGAACAGGCAGCCCAGCCCATAACTACAAATGTTAAGATGTTAAAAAGAAAAATTGGACTTGGGTAGTTAATGGAGCACTTGCCACTGATTAAAAATTTTCCTCAGCTGAGCAATCTAGATGTGCTCAACCATCCAACAAAAAAGCAAATGCAAAAGAAGACTGAAGTTCCAAAACGGTATTTAAGAAATCCTTTCAAATGCAGTCATCTCAAACGCCATTGATTTGTAAAATTAGTATCCAATACCAGTGATGGACCAGCATCAGTCTCTTTATAAATTATAAAAATTTTCTTTAAACCTGAAATTTATAATAAAGGAACTCAAAGGCCTAGTCATTGCAGACTTATGGGCTAGATTCCCTTCATGTTCATGAACAAAGCACTCTTGCACATCTATGAGAAAAGGCAGCAAAATTTACTCAAGTGTTTGAAATGGTAAACATTTAATAGAATATACCTCACTGAATTATTGGAGTGAGTGGCAATGATGAAAAACAAGCAAAACCCTCATATGGACTTACCTTCTGTTCTGAATTCTCATAAAACAACAGCCCAAAATAGTCCTTTTCCAGTAAATTGAGGTGTTCACATACTTTATCAAACAGCACTTGTCCTTTTGCTCTTTTCTGAGGGGTGGGAGGGAAGAAGATAAAAACACAAGGAAAAACAAGAAAAAAGAGAAAATTAATATAAGTAAATCAGTAAAGTCCTTAGTTTCAGTTACTGTTATTTGATAATATTATTCAGGAAAATTTAAAATATACATAAAGCAGATTATAAAACTATAAGCTTTCTTACAAAGACTGTTCACCATATTCCAAAGCTAAACATATCCTTGACAAAATATAGAGAAAGCTCAACTTTTTTTTCAATACATCAAAAAAATCTGAAACAACAATGTAAGTACACAAGGAAAATCCAGTACCTGAAAAATTTAAATATTTTGCACTATTAAGTGTCACTAAATACTTTTGGTTTTTCTAGATCTTTATTTTTAAAATAACAGAAGACTTCTTTATTTGAACCAACTTTTTCTATATTATCTTCTAAAAATTAATAGTTTCTATAATGTTAACTTTAGCATTTTTTATCATTTTGGTATACATCTCAGTGACTTATCAATCACATGATATGATTGCACTGAAAAATAAAATGCATTGTCTTCAAAAGACAAAAAGAACAAGCAGACCACTAACAGCTGATGCTCACACCAGCAGAAGCTGAACATATCCAACATGTCTATTGTCTGTACTACAGTGGTTTGTTTTGAGGGGCAGAAAATAAGATGGCTGCTTTCTGTGTATTTCTGAAATCTCAATAGCCAACAAATTCATTAGATGCTCTAAAATAAGAAATCTTCAAGGAGTTTATTTTTCCTAAAAAAATTATTTGTGGAAGTTAGCAACAAAGAAAAAAAAGCTGAAGGTTTTATTTGATGTTAGTTTCAGTACCACAGTCTGCTGCTTTATATATATAGTAATTAAAGACTGATAATCATTTCAATGTACTCTTAGAAAGCATTTTAAAATGTCAACTTTCAAGCTCACTTGGTGAGCTCAATATTACTAGAGCTTAAACAAATGGCAGTCAGTCCTGAAGTTTTATCTGTTCTTCTTGTGACTTTTTCCAACAGAATCTGAATGAGGCTTAAGAGAAGAGAAAGAAAGGGCATGTAGTGACAGGTCAAGGGGTAATGGTTTTAAAGAGTGTAGGTGCAGATTAGATATTAGGAAGAAATCCTTTACTGTGAGGGTGGTGAGGCGCTGGAAAAGATTTCCCAGTGAAATTGTGGATGACCCATCCCTGGAAATTTTCAAGGCCAGATTGGATGGGGCTCTGAGCACAACCTGGTCTGGTGGAAGGTGTCCTGGACTAAGCAGGGGGTTTAAAAATTAGAAGACCTTTAAGGTACCTCTCAACCCAAACCATTCTATCATTCTGTGATTCTTGTACCTGAGACTGGGAATGTAAACAATCCATGTCTGTAGTGCCAGTAATGAAAAGCAGGTCCTGGCTCTACTTCTGTGTGCAAGGTTTTAAAGGAAAATCTTTGTATCCTGCTGACAGGAAACAAAGATGTAGAGCAGATGGCTCACACCACATTCTATAAGGGGTGGGAAGATGAGGAGCTCTTTACACAATCAGATGGCCAAATCTGACCATGACTAGCATGCCGTTTCCAGTTTGAACCAACTCCTTCATGACAGCTCTGCTATTTGTGGCATTTATCACAGAGGCCACAACATGGCCTTTTCAGAAGCCTGTCAGCTTATAGGAATTCTTGCATTTGCTTATCCTCCACATTTCAGTAGATGCCACACACCACTGCCATACCACAGAAGCGCCACTGGCAGCCCCTGTGTAGGCCCGGGTGACACTGTGGCCATTGTCCCTGCAGAGAGTGGTGGAGCACCCCGTGTGCCCCATTCGGGCACTCCCGCAGCTCGGCTCCGCGGCACAGGGCGGTAAAGGCCAAGAGCGGAGGGAGAGGGGAGAAGGGAAGGTATGCACTGAGCAAAGAGTGAAGGCATTGTTGATTTATTCCCCAAGAATCCAGAGCTTTATTCAAAATCGCATTGTCCAGCGGACATTCTACTCGGGAAGATCAGAAAGCTTTCACAGAAGCAAAATTATAAAATGACCACATTTAGTAGCCCAAGTACAAGGCAGTGGAAAGTAGAAGTCAGAGTGACTTCTGAAATAGGGAACAGGGAATTTTAAGTCTGTTTGCTACTTCCAAAAGAATCTTACTCCTCAAGAAAGATGAGTACTTCCTCTAGGCATCTGAACCACTTAATTTTCTTGACAGCTTCACCTTCAGCTCAGTAAGAAAAATCACCAGTACAGAAAAGAGGTAAATTAAAAGCAGAAAAAATAAAAGCAAGAGAGTTCAAAGAGTCTTAGATGCATGTAATAGATACCACTTTTTTTCCAAAGTCAACGTGCAGGTCAATGATCACACCTTGCAAATGCAAGTTTCAGCTATACAACTTTCAGTAAAGAAAATATATAGATTAGCACAAAATAATATATGCTATCATATCAAACCCACATCTGGAATCAGCTGTTTTTTTCTAACGTTTACATACTAAAACCCACAGTTAATATTAAGTCTTTGACATATAGAAACAAAGCAGGCAAATCTACAGGAACTATATTGCAAATATAACTGTAAAATACTGCACAGTTTCTTATTAGGAAGTCATAATCAACGAAGAGCTTGGATACACTAGCAGCATCCACTGTGTCTTTAAACATCTTTTTGTCAGTTCATGGTTCTTCCACATAAGGACAAACACCACCAAGTCACAAAAGCCTAAGTTTGTGAGTCTGCATAGAGAGCAGAAAAATAAAAAGAGATTATTCCATTAGCAGCTAGTATTTAAAGAGCTCTGTTATGGATTCAAAAGCATAAGAAGCCTCTCAGTACCAGTGAAAGTTTTCATTATAAGATCCCACTTGTAAAACTGAAAGACTCTGAGTTATTTATATATAGTGACATATAGCTTTAAAAAATCTAAAAGATTTTTTAATTTGCAAAATCAAACTTTTCAAGTGCAATTTCTTTGGGGACAGGCATTACTACACAGTTTGAATTATATGATGACATAACTTTTCTGGAAAATGTCATGTTCTTAGCAGAATGTCTCTAAACATGAACGGAAGATAACTGTCGTGATCCAGTCAGTTCAGAAGTTAGAAATATTTTAATAGAACAGGGCACTCTTAAGAAGGCAGCATCATGGTTTGCACACTTTCTTACTTTTAAAAATGGATTCCATTTCATTTTCTACCAGGTGTTTGACATGTCAAGTGATAATCACAACCAATATGTAAATTATAATCACTGTTCTTATTTTATGTATGCATACATATACAATTATGCATCTGTATTTACACACGTGTTTACAGCACAACGAATACTAGCACTGAAAACAAGGCAATATTCATATTCCAAATTATAATGCAGAAATATCAGTAAAAATGTAAATCTTTCCTTACTCCCACAAGAAGGGGAGCACATTCAACCTAGCTATACCAAGATGCTGAGAAGTGAGGAGATGCTCAGAGCCAGCAGTTTAAAACACAAGAAGACTCAAATTAGCAGTATTGCTGCCAAGTTATGCTTCAAGTGAGAACATAAAAAGCACACATGTAAACAAGGTTATTCTAGTACCAATTTCAAGCCTGTATTTAGACACCGCAGATGCCACCTCACAATACAACCACCTCATAAAACCAGAGGTAGCATTTTTATGTCCTTTACCTCCTCAAAGAAAAGCAAACCCGAGCAAAGCACTTGCAGCTGACATACACAATGGAAATTTCTATGCAACTGGGAATTAGGATGTCATGGATCTGTTTGGCTAAATAAGAGTTGCCAACTACTGATGCAATATAAATATTCACAGCTACCAGTTCTGTTCAATACATTTATCTATGATAGGGATGCAGGAGTTGAATGCATCATTAGCAAGTCTGCTGATGATACTCAAGTGGGAGGTGCCACTGACCCCCTTAAAGGATGAGAAACCCTACAGAGCAATGTGGATAGATCAGAGCACTGGGCAATAAGTAGCATGAAATTTAGCCAGTGCCAAATTCTGTACTTGGGACAGAATAATACTGGGCACAGGTATAAACTGGGAGAGAGATGGCTGGAGACAAGCCCTGCAGAAGTGGATCTGGGAGTGCTGGTCAGCAGCAGCTCAGTGTGAGCCAGCAGAGAGCCCAGGCAGCCAGGAGGGCAAACCCCACCCTGGGGTGCAGCAAACCCTGTGTTCAACCATCCAGACAAAAGAGGTGATTATCCTGCTGCACTCAGCTTTGGTATGGCCACACCTCGAGTACTGTGAGCAGTTCTGGGGCCCACAAATTAAGAAGGTCCCTGAATATGTCCAGGAGGCAACAACAAAGCTGGGGAAAGTGCTCGAAGCAATGTCCTATGAGGACTGGCTCAGGACTTCAGGCTTATCTAGGTTAGAGAAAAAGAGGCCAAGGGGTGGCCTCACTGCTCCCTACAGCTTCCTGAGGAAGGTGAAGAAGCAGGTGCTGAGCTCTTCTCCCTGGGATCAGTGATAGACATGTGGGAACAGTTCAAAGCTGCACCATGGAAGATTTAGATGTGACATTAGGAATAGTTTTTTCACCACAAGGGTGAACAACCAGTGTAATAGCTTCCTAGGAGGTGGCTGATGCCAAAAGCATGTCAGTATTTAAAAGGCATTTGGACATGACCTTTAGGTCAGCCCTTATGACATGGGTGCTGCCCTGACCTTAAAGAGTTGATCATCAGGCAGCTGAACTTGATGATGACTGGAGGTCCTTTCCACCTGGAACAGTTTATTCTGTTCTTATCCCTGCCTTGTCCTTGCTCTAGCAGTACACACAGAGGAAAATTCTCAACATTTCTTCCCAGCCCTGCACTAGCAGAAAGGATTGAATGGGTAATCATGTCCCAGCCTAGGCACTGAATGTCTCTATGTGGAAAGAGGCATGTCCAGTCTGATGGGTGTGAGAGCTATGCATTAACTGAAACTAACTGAACCATTTGAAGAAATTTGGAAAACAAAACAAAAAAAAAAGCCAACAGGTACAGTTTTAAAAAGTTTTCTGTGTTCAGTCA